TTGCCCAAAAGTAGATCCCCCTGAGCGCTTCCTTTTTGTCACTGAACATCATTCCACATCAATATCTGGTTGTTAAAACATTACTGACAGGTCACCCCCACCCGCACGGATACAAGAGACCACATTCCCCGTTGAAAATGACAGGAACTTCGTTTGATAGGTGATTGTGCTTTTAAGCATCACCTAACATGATTTTCGGAAGTACAATATGTACCCCAGCAACTGACTGATTTAGCCGGGAAAATACTCCTTAACGGAATTTCAAATCTACCCTAAATCGCCTGAAATGAGAAAGTGACGAAGAAGCTACCTCTGTTTATGAAGAACAGGCCAATCAGTTTTTGGTGCTTTGAACTCTTAAGCATTTCCTGTCCATCTGGTTCACTAAACTAGTACCATTTCTTATTATATGCATTTACACATTGATAAAAGACGGTAGAAAGCAAACATTTCTTTGCAACCCAACCTAATAATTCTCTTCCAGATTGCATAAAAAACAGTACAGACGCTTCAGTCGTTGACTAGCCTAAAATGATTTCTACGAAGGCGATAGCGGCTGAGGTTTTCATTCTGAGATGAGCACATGACTGCGTGCAGGATGGGATGATGTAAGCGGGAGGAGAGGAGATTACTGGTACCACACAATGCCGACTGGTACATGTGACCCAGACGGGTTCACGTGACATCAAATCAGCGAACTGGCCGTATGGTGTTAGTTAACTTGCTTTCTGTGAACAATCTCTCCCTACAGAAACACGACATTGTTATGCTACACTTTATCTCTAATGTGTATTGTATTGTCACGTGATCTGTTAGAGTGAGACTAGTGATCAGATGAGAACTATCATTAGCTATCAATAATGAACTTATTTTATGAAGCTTGAGCCATTTTCCATTCTATAGCAAATAAATGAGCACAATGCTACTAAACGAATCTACGATGTAATTTCAATAGAAATAATTGTGATGACTGACAAATATTTCCGTCACATTGAAATGCATTCAACTAGTGGGGATTTACCGATCTTCCAAAGAGTAAAACCCACAATCAAGGTGATCAAGAGGGTCTGATGCCTATGAACAATCGAATGAGCTAATCCAAACAGAATACCCGAAAGGAGTTCAGAATCAATCAACATTTTCGAAATTGTAGCTCCAAATGGAAGAAGTGGTCAGCAGTTTGCACCCGGAGAGTGTGGATGCGGCTATCAAAAAGGGTCCAATCGCATGGTAAATGACATTCATTCAGTTTGACATTGACGTGTGCTCGATACAGCAGGGGTTAACCATCGTAATCCTTTGCTAACGGAGGTGACGGTTACCCTTTATTTGAGACTATATTGTGGTATTCATCTCCAGTTGGTTCTTGCCCGCTAGGTAGTTAGTTGAGTGGTGACGATTACACTTCGTATCACAACAACGAGGAATGGGAGTCAATTCCAGTGACAGGTTTGTGTAAAAGCGAAGATACACTAGGGCGAGAAGTTAATGCGGAGGACAACGGTCATCAAATTTCAAGACAGACTGAGTACAGGAACATACAGCTCTAATAATAATGGGAGGGGAATAGTCAAAAAATTAAAAATTCAACTTGTTGGGTGCATAAAGTTTAACTGGATTTGACTGTAATACCCCCATACATCACTTGCACCTATAATGAAGTAGACTCCAATAACATATTGAAGTCGTAGGCCAAAAAAGTTAGAAAAGTCACAAAAGTCGCTGCTGGTTGCAATTCTTTAAATGCCCACAAATACGCACATAAACCCGAAAATCCATCATAACCTACCTACCTACTTATCTACCCATCGACCTATCTGCATACATACATACTACGTACATACATACACACTTGGAGATTGTATCGATATTTCTCATCACTTACCACATGTGGAGCTGACAGCCCGATTAATTGAATCCAGTCGACTATCTAGCGTCTGTACATACGGCACAGTAATCCGACATCGATGTTGCAGCACATCGTTACCCGTCTGTTCGATCACGCATTCCAGATCGTGCAATTGTTCCATCAGACTGGCTTTGGATTCGTTCAACTCGACCAACATTCGATCCAAATTGGCCCGATCTGACCGGACAGACTGTAGACTTGGGTCAGTGGGACAAAGCAGCCGACTCCGATATTGGTGTACGGCATGCTGTGAGTACACACGCGAAACACAGAGAGAGAGGTGTGCGCGTGTGTGTGCGCGAGCGCAAGGGTGCATTAGTGTGCGTTTGTGTAGGGGGTGTATGTAACATTGGCAACCGACGAAGTACCACGCAAAGCGGAACGAGGGTGGGTGGATAGACGGGGCAACAGACGAGAGAATAGATGAGAAACAAAAACAGAGGGAAAGTTAATATCTTCCGGGTAAAGTGGCTGGCCTGCCTAGTTGCTTTCATTCTTCCTCTTGTCTATAGTTCATTTGCTCTACCCTACTGAATAAGAGGAGACTGTCTTTGCGGTAGCCTGTTGGTATAAGTTAAAACGGACGGATAGGATAGAGCGTGCGCTTTTTCTGAAAGTTCATTCTACATCTACTGTTGAACTGATGAGGAAACAAACTTACGGTTAATGATTCACGACAGTGTTGCAAGTCGTCGGTAATCTTCTGTCTGAATTGTTTGTGTAGCTGACGCATTCCGGTCAACGCTCGCCGACATTCGTCTAGTTGGGCTTTATTCTGTGCAAGCAGTGCATACCGATGTTTGTTTGTCGATTCTTCATCGCGGTTGGAGGGATCGTCCGGGAAATGAATGATTTAGTGTTGTTGTTGGTGGTGGTGTTGGTGTTGGTTGTGTCGGATCAACGGAGGAATAGGGAGAAGGTAATTAAAGCATTATTTGATTGATTGCTACTAACGTTTCTTCAGACGTCAGTAAGATGTAGACTGACACTCTTCGACTGTCAAGGAAAACAGTTGAACCGAAGAATACCGAGCACAGAACAGAAATTGACATATTACTGTCACCTGGTAAACGAGACTTTGACTATTGTATCGCTACTGGACTGGAAATCAACCAGCGATTTCAATTCACTTGTGATTAAAACAAGTTGTGCGTGTACGTTAGCTCCTACCCTAATAAAATCAGTGTTTGCAGTTCTGAAATAATGGTGTGCACAAAATATTCCATCAGTCTCATGACCTAGAAAGAATCGCACCATCTTTAACTCTTTACACACAGTTATCTTAATATTTTATCAAACAACTTTACTTCTCGTATGTGAAGGCCACTGATTCATATCATTGACCTGATGAAGCATAGTGCACCAAAGCAATATAGCTTCATTTGAAGGTCACTGGTAAGTAACAATCTTGGGCGTTTCACTCGGAGTCACTCAAGAGGAGCGAAACCTTTACTGAGGTCGTGTTTTCCACTTAACTATTGCCCACTTGAGAATTATATCCATGTACCTTCAAATTCATGTTCATTTCTCCGCATAACGTGATTCGTCATGCATATCCGGGGTGCAACTTGAATGTGTCGAGAACTTGAGTTGGAAGAAAATTGCAGATAATGCATATTCTGACAATCATGTACTCACAGTTTAGCCGATTCTTCTAAAACACAAGCTCTCCTGAGGATTTCTCCTGAGATAGACATTTTCGCGCGAATCTGAGATGAATGGTCTGATTCATTATTGTACCTAGAAAGATCGGATCTCACCGAATTGGAACGGTTTGAGCAATCCATCCCAGTCTAACAAAAGTGATAAATGCTGAACATTGAATTTCGAATCGTTCTCAGTTAGCATTTAGGAAGGATTGCCTTCAAGGGGTGAATTAAAGTTTTACTTGGGATGTTATGATACAACTTGATGTTTTGCAACATTTCATATCTCCTACGTCAGAACACTGTTGAGTGCTACAAATTCCTTAGTACGTTATCCTGCTCTTCAGATTTTGGTGTCTTGTGCACATAGTGACTCTCGTGACAAAAGGATGTGAGAGGTTGATAAGCGAAGCGATGCAAAGACCATATCGTATAAGCTAGCCTCAGTTATAACCAATCCACTTACTGTTTATTACATGCAACGCAGAATGCATCATGAAATTGTGCTGTAACGAACGCCTAATAATTTGAAACATTGGGACCCCTTTATCCAATTTGTTAGAACAGAGAGAAGACAAATACTGCGAGATGTTAACGTTTCTTCTAATCTCTTCAGTCGCTATAACGTAAAACAATCTGGTATTTATACAAGCAAGTTTTCTGACTACTGTCCGTTTTACCACTGTAGTTATCAAAACTTGCTTGTATAAATACCAGATTGTTTTACGTTGTAGCGACTGAAGAGATTAAAAGAAATGTTAACATCTCGCAGTATTTGCCTAATAATTTCCTAGTTAAAGGGCCTTTAACCTATGTATTTGTCTTTATGCAAAATAAGATGATCCCAATTATGTGCTAATTTTAATCGTCCACTGCAAATATTTTCCATCATAAAATGTTCCAGTGAATATAATATGCAAACTTCAATTCCAAGAGGAATAGGGGCTGGGAGCTTTGTGGCTGTCGTTTTCTCAATGCCTTAGGGATAAACTGTATTGTATTCTATGAACTAATAGCTACCCTACATTAGTCAATTTGAATGAAAATGCCCTGACGGTTTCTTATCAGAATCTCTACTGAACGGACTCCCCCTTTGCTACTCAACTAAGAATAAGAAAGACTGGTAGACTTTGCTGCTTTGAGTTAAGTAATGCTCAAATTCGGGCTTCATAGAAGAATATCAGCGCTTTTATTTACTCGAACGTGTTATGCTCCCACACTATCTAGTCAAACATTCTCAATAGAGTTTGCTTCTTACGGGTTCCAGTGAAATGCAAGTAAAATCGCTGTTAGAAATAGATTTATTCTATCAGATTTTTAATCTAGACTTTATCCTTAAAATCTGCCTGTAGCAGAGGAGCCACATGGTTCACATAAAGCATTACATATGCTCAACAGAGGGGTGAGACGCGGGGAGCACAGATGTTTCATTTCAGGTTTAAATTAAACGTGAAAACCGAATTATGCAAACGGCATCACATCCATTTTGGTGCAGTCACACTTGCAAATCGGTAAACACATGAGGAAACAAACGCTTTATCGACTGTGCCTATGGGCAAATATTTTCAGTGAGGCAAATCTGAATCAACGCGCATTGTTCTCGCTCTGTTTCGGTTAGTTTTTTCATGATGCGACTTTCATAAATTCGGTGCTAGAAGTACATGACTATTATCGTATGATGTAGTTCAATTGTAAATCGAAAATAAATGGTTTACAATAAGTTTGCCCAGGTTTTGTGATTTCAATAAAAACTCTCAAAAGACACAGGCTATCAAAATTTTTGTTTGATCGTAATTAAATATATAAAATGTGTTTGACTAGTTGTTTTTTTAGTGACCTGTATAAATAAGCAAATATATAAATTGTTTTATTATTCTGGGTTCTAGCGAATAACGTATCGATCAAACCTGTTCTGTTTCATTGTCATAAAAATTGCGGTGACAGTTGGACCATTTTCCTATCCCAATGAATCCTAAAAAGCAGTTTATTGATTTGCTTTGATTTCATTGAACGATTCCAAAAATGGTAGCTCGTTCACCTTTCCAGAAACTATGTGATTGTTTGAATTTTCCCCAACCCCATTCGTTTCCCTGCAGCGCCAGACTATTGAGGGCTATTTGGGGAGGGGCAGTTGTTCAGGCCAGAGTGACAAGGTTTGCATGATTGACGAACGTCATGTTGTGCAGCAATGAAAACACAGGTGAAAGCGATCGGTTTGCCTGACCGGTCGAGGTGGATGGATTCCAAATATCGACAGGCATTACGTTTATGATGAAGAGTTTGAACTATTTTTATTAAATCTCATTACGACAACTAAGGCAGCATTCTTTTCGTATTCGATTATGATTGCTTCGACAAAACTTCTGTGGAAGCAAAGGACCGGTTTCGCTGTTCTTGCCGCTCGTGAGACATGCATTTCTAGTAATAATTTGTCAATTTGTTGATGTTCCTGTACACAGAAAGTGCATCTTCGTCACACTAACCTCATATGCAACACCGGATAATTTTGAAGTAGCATGTAACCCGCCTAACCGTTGTATTGACTTTTTAATGAACTAGCCTGAAAACGCTGTTCGTCCCAGATTACCCGTATGCTGCAAGTAAGTTTACTGTGATATATATATATGTTTGTGTTTTTTTGCTGTGCGGCTGAATACAGTAAACTTACAAATGAGTTTTAGAATATCAATCAAGCTAGTTGAAAGCAGTTTTATAATGACACATTTTTAAACCCGATGCCTAATTAGTTACAAATTTAACTCATTTGTTTTTCAGCAGTTCAAAATATTTTACCAAATGTAACTGTATGATATGCGAAACTGAATAGATCACGGTTAAGGAAATCAAAAAATGATGAAACTTCGTTCCATTTCCATGTGAACCTAACCTGGTGGCAAAGAGATAGACGTATAACACCATGCATGTAGAACAAATCACCAACACTGATTTGCCGCGGTACAGTCGTTTGCCACTGTTTGAAAATCATGTGTCTTAAGCAGCGTAACTTCAAATGTGTAACTAAATATTCAGTTCAATTTCTGACTTTTTTCGTAGAAACAGAAGCATTTCAGACAGAGCAGTGTCAGAAGAAATGAGAGTTGAGAATGCAACAGAAACAGCATGAAAATTGTACTCACCAGCATTTGGAATGGGCAGGTCAGTTCTTTGCAGTGCGACCAGAAAAGAGTCTGGTTGAACTCCGGATGCACGAAGGGCTTGGAACAAAGTGACCAGATAGTTTACGTGAGCTTCTTTCTCAGCCCGTTCCTCGTTGGACAGATCTGCGCTATCCTGAAGACGTCTTTGCTCAATCTGTCCAGCCGCACAGCATGGACTGAGGACTGGGATTGTTTGTACTCCGCTGACTGTTCCATCCGGGCAAGATCTGAAAATCAGGGAGTTTTAAGTTTTGGTTATGATGAATGACCATGTTCATGATATTCATCAATGAATAATACATGAACAAGGAATGGGGGTTGGTGTAGCTACTCGTCGTGATACGACAGTGGGTTGAGTAAGGGACTGAAATCCGGACTGTATGAGTTAGTAACCGATGTCGCTTGACGAAGACAACAAAACTATTGTGATTATTGAAAAAATATAAGTAAAAGGTCTGCGGTGTTCAAAACACAACGTTGAATTGAAGCAATTTATTATCAGTTTATATGATTCATGTCCTGTGCACTGCCTCTGAAATTGAACCAGAATCGGTGCGATTTCAATCCCTTCAGTGTGATGTGAGAGATGATGCTGTAAACAATGACGTCACAAATTTCTACCTACTTTTAAAAGCCTCACCCGTATCATCTATGGATGTTTTGGTAACTGACAATGATAGTGGGAAAACGTTTGGTGATACAGAGTGAATATGGTAGGCCGTTTGAACACTGACTAATGTGCTAAATTTATGTTCATCTGTATGGCTATTTGGCAGCCGAGATATTTCGGAAACAATACAAACCAGTGAGTGAGAGTAGCATATAAACAAATTATTTTTCTCAGATAACCATCAGCAGGAGGTGCGGGCTCAGTAGATGCTGCACACGACGCATCGATAATTATCAAAACATTTCAGAATAATTCAGACCGCAAACCAATAAAAGCTGTCTTCACCGGGGTTCGCTCGCGTTTATCAATAAAAAATACGTCTACTGAAAGTTAGTGTCTGGTTTGGTGCACGAATCCCGTGAGATTTACGTGTCAGCTAACCGGCCTTACGGATCAAACAATGTGAAACATGTGCAATGTCTTGAGAACGAATAATCAGTTTATTTTTCGGCTCCATTAAGTTTACTTTTCCAATCATGTATTTTAGTGATGTGTGATGGTAATCCTTATCTCAGATACTGTGTTGTCTATCTGCAGGAATACGACGTTAGCGATTCGTGCAGAATATTAGTGTGATACAGCTAATGGATGCAAGTGGATAGCATGAGAAGTGGTGAGATCAGCCAGAGGCGAGTAACCCTAATAGCCGAAACCGAATATGCAACGGTCGACGAAAAGCGGCATGTAGTGGCAGTAGCGCGAATTCCCAACCATCACCGCCTGTGCATTTGAGTTAAATGCTCCAGACCAGCAGTTATCATTTCACCGTACACAAGTCCTCCATGTACGACACGTGCCACTGACGAAAATGGAGGCCGTTCAACCCCGGCTAGCCTAAATGTTTTTTTAATCTACTGATGGAGCGATGACTACGATGACTACTACTACCAAACGTGTAATAACAGTCACAAATTTCATAATACTTGACTCTGCCTCCCGGTAATTGAAGAAGCAACGATTGCTCATATTTAACTTATATCTCTTTTGGAAGCGCAGAGCCGTTTTATTGTATTTCACTTCACAAAATTATCAAGACCGCCCTTTTGTCCAGATCCGATTGTTGTAAGTGCCAAAAAATTTATTAAGTTGATAAAGAAAACGGTCAATTAGGCAGAGAAGTGACACAGGCGCGTATGACTATCAATCATGCCATCGAGAGTTCTCTGCAATCCCTTTGGTATATCACAGGGATCTAAATCAAACATTTGACTTCGGTTATTTGATAGATTGGGCCACTACTTCTCCGACATCGGTTGTCACTGTGTACTTAACAACTATTTCTTCAAGCCCGACAACCAACCCAATCTGACCATCTTAGAACACAAACTGTTACGGAAGATTCTTTTCTCACATGGAAACACTCGAGGACGAATTTTTTTTGAAAGGCAAAAAACGTATTTACTTTCTTTATAGGATGATTATGAACAGAAAAAATTGTTAGTTGAACAGTATTTTCAAACATATGGGAGCCCTAATTGAAGCATTTTGTTTTTTTGTCTGGATATTCACACAGAAGTAAAACGTTATCTGTAAGTTAGCTGGGATTGCGGTAGTGTTCATATCGGTACTTAGTAGGAAAAAATCTAAATTAGGATCTGAAAACAAGCAAGTTTTCAACGTGAAATCAGCCAAAAACAGTCACACCACATTTCAGAAGCATTGGCTATTACGAAAAGTTAACATCGCTTTCCAGACAAAGGGGGAGCGTGAGAGATCAGTTTGTTTCGTGAAAAGCAAGTGCCTACAAACAAATTCCTTCACTGGGGTGTGGTGAATTGGAGAGAGAAAGAGACGGAGAGAGATAGGGAGTAAACCATGTTATACACACTCAGCGTACCTCATAACACAGTGCTGTTTGAAGATTTTTTGCCAGTTAAGGGAGATGCAACGTCAGTAGTGGAAGCAAATCTGTAAAAATATTGGGATCTCTCCCTTCATCGCACTGACACTCGTTATGTCCACAAATATAAACGGAGATTTCCGGATAAGCTCTGTTACTCAATACAAAAGATCTGTTCCGGGAGTATTTTGTTCCTTCACCAATACACCTGGTCAACCGAACTTTATTACAATCGAAATGTTTTAAAACCACTAATCGTGCTACTCTGCAGGTTCGCCCAAGCCAGTTTGGCACATTTGCAACAGTTATACGACATTTTGGCCAAACAATCACAAGTTATGAGTCAGGTTCGTAAAAACGCGCGGTTGGTTTGACCCTAATTGGAACCATGTGAACAGAAGTTTACCAGTTTAAACACTCATATACCATGTATTTATAAGCCCACGTCACACTTAGGACTGTTTACTAAATTGACAATGTCCATGACGGATCTCAATTTCGGTAAAATAAAGGGTAGTGTGCAATCCAGTGAATATGTTAAACTCTGTTTGTCCTGGGTGTCTTTTGGCATGGTCACGATTTCACTTTCTGGTCTACGCTGTTGTTACCAACCAATTGCGGTTAGTGTGAATTGCAAGTTATTTCTCTACATAAAAAACCTAATCGCTTGATAACCTTATCGAATTATTACATGAAGTTAGTAGTGTTTTTGGTATTTTATCTGTAATAAATGTCAGGTAGTTTTGCCTTTGTCAAGTCCAAAATGAACTCAATCTCAATAACAAGAGCATTGTGTTATGACGGGCTATAATGAAACCTTTATACTGTTTAAAGTAAAACAATTGTCACTACGGACATGAGCACCATCAACTTTAGTAAAACTGTCTTTGGGTACGTATCATTATCAATAGTAACCCCATTATGTTTACATACTGAGGCCGTGGTTATTTTTAGTTGCACACACAGAATGTTGATTTGCACGCTCAACAAGTATTCCCATGTGGTATCAATGGGATAGCGAATAAGCGGAACACAACATTGTTGATAGTGGAGGAAACGATCTCCGTGAAACCTTCATGGCTATCTTCATTCTTATTTTGTTGTTGAAGTTTGTTTCAGGTCAGTTGTTTTTCCTGTTTTTTCTAGTCACCATGATCGTATTCCCTCGTCCTGGGTAAGGTTTATAATACCCAGGAAAGAAGAGGGTGATTGAGAGAATACCAAACTGCATTACGGAATAACGTTCATTGCCAAAATACGTAAACCTTGGCAAAAAACACCATCATGACTTTTATCGCGGCCTGTACTAGTGAGAGGCCGACAGATACAGATGATATATAAATCTAGGTGAAATTGGCGTCAAAATGCAGTCGCCTGCTCAGAAATTCTACAGGGGATATTCGAAACTTTACGTGTGCTGAATAATCCCACATTCTACTAACCGCGATGCCCGCTGGTTGTAAGGCGTCAAACCAAATTGTCAACAGTGCGTGACCTGTGTATGTTGTATGCCCTGCGCGACGTATTATTTGCTGCAACAGCATTGAACCATCTGGTTTCGGACATAAAAGGTTCGTATCGGTAACCTACCCGTGATTATCTGAACTGCCTGGATTAATTTATCTCTACTTCTACCACACCATGTGACCTGATGTGACTGACAGTGTTAGTGAGCATAGTGTGTGTTTCAATCTATCACCAGATTCAGTGCAAGGTTGTTTCTTGACATTAGTGACTTACAAGCGTTGAGCATATTTTCTGTGAGTTAGAAGTGAAATTCGATTTATTTCAGTGGACGCCAGCCATATAAATCACTTAAAACCCGCTTGTGTATGCCCTCTGAACAATTACGTATAAAATACATGATCGTCTCTCAGAGTTGGCTTTTGGTGAACCCTATTTGTGAATTTAGGAATATAAATTCCGAAACAGATACCTATAAATTGATTTTTGGCCGACCAGCCAGTCACAGTGAGGGACTTTATGATTTATCTCAATTTAAGAAATGGATGAAGCAAAGAATTTATTTTCACAACACCTGAACTCTTCAGCTGTGCACGCATGCTGCGCCATCAAGCCAAAATGTTTATACCAAAGCCAATTTCTTATATTCTCTTAATGGTTAACAAAATCGCATCAATGCATCAGGAAAACAAATTTGTTTAAGGGAGTACCAATGTCAGGTCGATAGGAAACCACTTGCGAAGCGAAATCCCAATTATTTTTATACACATCTGCCCTAACTGAAAATTTTGCTAAACGTAACATCGTAAGCAATTTTTGCTCTTATATTACACATCATTCAGTTACTAACTGCTACTTTGCCGAATGTAGAGAAAAACAAAAACTAAGTACTGACCAATAAAAGCTCAGCTCGATACTGGCGGAATCTATGCAAAACCTGCTCAGTTGTGCCCGGTCCGAAGAGAGAATAAGTCACTCCCAGTCAATGTGGTATGGCCTAGAGTTTCTATATTGTGGGCAGATTTTATTGCTATTGTGCACTTTATCGGAATATAAAAACTATTTCAATGGCTTTTGTCACACAATAATGACAATAAAGAGAAATATACATTCTTTCAGTGCAACAATGACGCTTTGAAATGAGATTCACAAACTACTAGGTTGAAGGTGAGAGGTGATTTTCTAAGAAAATTTCCTTGCTCTCCTCCCGAATACTCTTTTCTATGGACTTCTTATATTATTTACATGATTGACACAATGAAGAAGCTCGCTTTAATCAATTCAAATTTACTTATTTATCATACGAATTTTACTCTCGAAAAGAATTCACTTAGCGAACCCTTGTGTGACTGGCTTGTCTAATCGCGTTTGCTCAGCATGACATTTGCGCGTTACTATTCAACCCCTGTTGATCGTTATGTAAAGTGGATTTTATGCCCATGATTTCTATCCGGATCCAAATATCATGTACTCTTCTGCTGAATAGTGCTTTCCAAATTCGAACTCAGTTATCTTGACCAAATCGGGTCGGGTCTTGGCGAGTCATTCACTGCTGGATCATTCTAACAATCTTCATTGAATATTTAGTCGACAGACAGATCCGCTGTCTCCTCCGGACGGACACAGCACGTCTGTCTATCTATCTGATTGAGGTGGTCCGCTGCACATTCCCTAATCGCTTGGATCACCTGATCACCGCTCAAGGTTGAGAGCAACTGTGCATGTGACATGGTTTTACTTCGTGCATTGTACTTTAGTTGTGATTGGCTAATATGATATGTTCGTCTGTCTAGCACTCTGTCATGTGACGGTTTGTTATCTAACTTTGAAAATATGGGCACATCTCTGTCCGAATGAGCATGCAACGAATCAGTTCACTGTGATACTTAACTAGCCGAACTCCAATGTTCATGATTTCCGAATAACTCTGATCTGTGTACGCTCGTTTACTGACGTATAGCGTTTTCGCAGGCTGCGCGCTGATCTAATTTTTGTCAGTCTGTTAGTCGCCTACATCAGTTTAAACGGTGTCTAGAATTTGCTGTAGCGATCGAACTGCAGATGCTGCCTGTTTTGTACACCCATTTGACTGGCCTGAATGACAGTTTAAAAAAATCTCGTCCGATTATCACGATCGAAATAGGCAGACACAACGAGAGAGAGAGAGACGGGAAGATTATTGTGCGTTTCCATTGATCAGCTAAGCCTTTTTTGCAAAGACAGGATCAAGCTTATCGAACTAACTCTTTCAGAGGTATAATAGGGAATCGGTTTGCACAAGAATAGTCACAATGATCACTTCCACGTGAGTTCAGTATGTGTTATTATGTTTCGAGGATTTAGTTGTTACAATCCCTGATCCCACAGGAACTTTATTCGTTTAACTACGATACCTTCCAGTAATCTAAGTCACCTGAAACCCCGTTAAATCACTAAATGCGTTACACATTACATATCATTGTGATTCGTTTACTTGCAATAAATGATGATACTATCTCGCCCAAGACATTTGGTTCTTCTACAATCTTCATATCCACTGCTTCTAATCAATGGTAGCATTCCTGTTACAGAGAACTTCTATGTTGAGCAATGAACAATCTATGAACCAATACTACCAGCTTTTGAAGTTCTTCAGTCCCACCACAGAAGTGTGAAGCACTTTACACGTGGATGATCCTACGAAATATGAAACAGCTTCATTTGTCCTTGTACGGTTTCTCATCTTGACCTGGTAGTTCGGATGTTATGTAGTAAAGTTACAGAAAAGTAGAAACGTTGATCAAATAGAACTCCAAAGGTGCTTAAATGAGTGCATTTCTAAAATCGAGGGAAAATATGGTGCACAAGTAGGTTTTGTCGGTTCTCGGACACTGCCATCAAAAGTGGTTTCCGGTCTATTGTGTAATTATCGCTACGAATATTTTTTATTTTGTGATTGAGAAACATGGTTAAATCGTCGGAATTGGGAACATCTTTATGAAAAATTGGGAAAATTTCATCACGTCCATCCAATTTTTATTCTTGTTTGATCTTATCTGTTTCGGTGTTCATCGATCCAAACGATTCCTTCTTTTTCAGCATAAAAAAACCCACGATCATTGTTATTCATAAACCTGCAAAAAATACAATGAACCTGGTTTCAGTGTTCATTGAATAGCGTTTACATTTGGTAAACAGTTTGCAGATTACCCTCAGGTGCATCTCCGGTTCATGTGACGTGCACATACACACACACATACTGAATAAATGTGTACCACTATAGGAACTTACCGGGACACACATCCATTTTCCAGCTGTTTCTGTTGACATTTATTCGTTGTTCGGTGATCTGAAGAAGTGTCCATCATATTATTTCCCGTTTTACTGCACCATGGTGTCTGTTGTTGTTGCTGTTGCTGCTGTGATGTCTGTTTGCGATCCTGTGATGCCGTTCGTGCTATTTGCTGCTGCTGCTGCTGCTGCTGTTGCTGTTTTTGTCTTCGTTGTTGCTCGAAAAGCGCTGGTGAAAACAAAAGAAATCTTGATATGATGAAACGTGAATTGGAGTGCATTACAACCAGATATCAACAACGTTGCTTTTCTCGCATTATCCATGCTTATGTTGTTCCTCACTGGAATACTTATTATCCATAATGAGAAACTATAGAAGATGAGTCATAACAATTTTAGTCTTGTTCATCATGGCTTTCACACATGAGGATTTCTACATTTGTTCCCAGTTTAATTCCCTCAGAGTTCCTAATATGCAGTAAGGACGGGCAATGTCATACTTTCAATCAATTTTCTTGAGGCAGTTGTCTTGTTTTGTATTGTATTGCAGTGACTTGTTTGCATGTCCAAGTCAGTTTTCCTTTTCGGTCGTGTAAAGCAGTAAGAAAAGTGTCACATTATGAATCCCGAGAGAAACTGATTACTCAGGCATCTAGCTAATCTCAAATTGGAGCTAACGTCTCGAGGACAAAATTGGGCACGACAGCAGTAGCCAAAATCATCCACCTCGAGGTAGACTAGTGGCACTTGGTTGAAAGGAGACAAAATATAAAATGGTTGGTTACAAAATTCCGACTCGCTTCGATGGTAGTGTGCAAGTCAACCACCTATGGGAGACATTCAAAAAACGTTGGAATAACCATGTGCAACTTTTGATCGGTTTTTGAGAGCAGAAGCAAACCTCTGTGTGTGCATATGCAATACGTTTATCGAGTCTATGGACTAATGATATCTGCCAAACAACTGATGCAGTCAGAGCTGGGAACGAATTAGAATATTTATAATTTTTTCAAAAACTTCTCACGGAGCTCCACGTGTTCATAATGCACACGATGAACTGTGAGAAAAATAAACCCTTGCAATTAGTAAGTGAATAGTAGTAAGTAGCTCCGGATGAGCTACTCCATTTTGGGATGATTTCAAACTATTCGGAGTGTTCAGTAATTCATTGGAAAGCATCACCGAAGTGTACAGATCAAATATTTTTCGCACTGGAAGTTTATCTTGGAGTTGCAGGCAATTCTGTGAGAAACAGACGAGACCGTGAAACCCGAAAATCTTTGTTTACCAGCTTTCCAGTCTACAGACTAGTGACACCAAACAACTGATTCAGGACAAAATGCTGAGAGCGAAATAATTGAACCCTCATTAGGGGCTGCTTGGCAGAACATTCTACAGATATAATAGGTGCAACGTTGATTCGCCTATTATCTGTCGTATTTGGGAAGGTTTGTTCAATCGCTACTCAAGATGCAAAGTCTTGATAAAGCATCGTTAAGAGCCCGTAATAAGGTTTCGACAGAACCTCATCTTGGTTTGGTAATCTGCAGATTGGAAAGGTGTCAAAAAGCTTTAGAAAGACGATGTGAGAATATTGAATGTATTGAACCCCTGATAGATCAGTTGTATCACCTTAATAGAGGTTGCTTTAATCCCAGAGTTACAATCAGGCACGATTCAGGTGAACGTATTCTAGAAGTGTGACTGGGAAGAAGATTTGCATCTAAGATCACCGAATCACCGGAATGAATAGTACGAATACGGAATCAACCTCGCATGAGATGAAAACTTTAATACGATTCTCCTATTCGTTTGTGTTTGAATTGCTATTAACCCAGTATATTCTACTCGGTTTGTCAATATTTAATACAAACCGGTAAAGTCTGTAGTAAATTTATTCAGACCTTGTTAAACTTTATCAATTAATTAGTCAGTCCAAGTTTTGAAATACTATGTTCACAGGGTGTTTGGAAACTGACACTATTACCAATTCCGTTTAATAGGTAGCAACTAGAAAGAAAAAGGGGAACATCTAAGTGTGAATTTTTCTGAACCGAGTAACCAAAGCATAGCACCAGCAATATACACATTCCCTGTTCAATATATCAGCGAACATGTGAACAATTCATCAGCCCAGGTTTTAATGCATGTGTCACGTGTTTATAAGCATTCCGTTGATCGGAAAACCATGGTATGCTGGACCAATATTTGACCAACACGTCTTGTCGCATGCTACGAGAAACAGCTGGAAGTAAAATCCCATTGGTCCCAAACACCGGGGAGAGAAAAGATATTAGAATTTTATGTTCTCCTCCCTAGCTAGGTCCAGCCCATGCGAACGCTAAGGTATCCTACCTCGTAGACTTGGTACGAAACCTGACCGGTCGATCATGGACGGTCTCAGAGGTTGTGTGGCGTCCGCGAGTGCGCTGCTCACATCTCGTTCACAATGCAAATGTTCGATGTGCAAGTCCCAGGGGGTTAGAGAAGAACGAGGCGTTGCTCACTAGCTCGCAGAAGGACTGTCCTGTGCCGTTTGTTTGCCTGGCAGGAAAACTTGAGTTTTTAAAAAATGAACGAACATTTTTTGTTGATGCGATGCAACCTGCTTCTATTGAAATGAGTTTCTTATGCATTGCAAAATGAATTCAGAGTGTAAAAGTATAAATTGTATTACATGCTGATCGTCCTGTTTGACTTCGCCAACAGTGGAGAGAACAAAATGCGCATTGTATGAAGCTAGTTATACGTGATTTTCAGTTCTTTTTGTACATCCAGTGAACTCAGAACACTGACGGAACAAGACTTTTGAATCAGTATAATTTTCAACAGTCGGTTTTCATGTGACAATGCTTACGACTGCATGATAAATCATTGCCGTTGGGCGTCACGCATTAGACTGTGTGGTGTTCTCCTTTCAGACCCCTTTGACATATAGAACGAGAAAGTTAATTATTGAACTAGTAGAATTCCTTCCACAAAGGTCCGTTGCCCCTACCCGTCGAAGAGATTATTATTTAGATTTGAATAGTCAATCCCATGTGTGGCAGTTAATTGACAAAAGCGACAAAATTCAGATTCACCCGATCCGATTTGAAAAAAGGAGAATAAATAATCAGAAACCTGTAAGTTTCAAAGTTGCCAACTTTTCGTCAGAAATCAAATACAGCTCTCACCTTGATGCACTTCAGGTGGGCAAGTGCAAATCAAACCAGTTTGTTGTGGGATCGCCTCACTTCGAGACTGTCTGGGAAGTGTGGCTGATTCACCTGCACCGGAGGGTAGAGTACAAACAACCTGGTTGACTGAAATCTTAAGACTATTGGTCATCGCACTCTGAGAGAGAGATTGTTGTTGTTGTTGGGATAGGGGAGATTGAGCTAGGTGTTGTTGTTGCTGCTGTGATTGTGCTGTTTGTGCAGAGGGTTGGGTTTGCATTTGTTGCGGCTGCGGTTGCTGAACCAGCACCAGTCCCGAAGGTGTCTGAATCAGTTGAGGCCGAATATGAGCGTCATGAGAGCCAGAGTGGGAGGCTTGGAGTTGTCGGAGCAAGTCACTTGTGGCCACAGCATAATAGACAGTTGGTTGTTGTTGTTGTTGCTGCTGCTGTTGCGACGGAGACTGTGAACCGGAAGTGGTTTCTTCTCCCATAGATAGACTGGTTTTACCTGTTGCAGTACGATAAACATAAACAAGAGAGAGAGGGAGTAGGAGCACGAATTTAACGACAATCTTTGTCCTGAACCATGGCAGTACGATGCGAAAACAAAATGATAAAAATGAAACAGACCAATACTCAGGAATACTTTGAGTAGACATCATTATTTCATATACGCTCTCTCTCTCTAACTAGCCGATTTTCTAATAATCATCAAATATCCTGAAACGATTTCAGATAAAGTACTAGACAAGTTACATCAGGATAAATAAAAGCAACAAGACTAACGTCTGCTAGTCGGCGTTTATCTCAATTCTCAACTTTACGTGCAGAAAAAGACAGCTCATATGATTAGCAATAAACGATACTGCAAACACACTAAGAAGGATATCTACGGATTGGGGTTTTAATCAGGTTGACAGATCACTTTTCTCTTCACTTGACATCCCGTGTTTTTTAAATTGTGCGGGACAAAATCGTGTCAGTTTCTGTCACATTATTAAACGTACCTTGTTTACTAGTTGAGCAAAGCAAAATTGTTTCATTGTTTCTTCGTTCGGTCGCAATATTTTGTAAAATGATCACAGAATTCTAATAGTCTAGCCAGAAAAAATCCGAACAACAATTTTAAACATTGTACACATTTCGATGCACGGTTCTGACTACTTGGTCTGCAAAGTGGGCATAACAATACAAAAATTAGTTAAGAGGTTGTGGGTTAAATACCAGTGATCGTTTCTGTACTGGAGAAGGGATAGTTCGAACGGAGAGAAATACTTACCACCTGGAATTACAGTTTGTGGATAGTAAAGCATGACGGGGGCGTTTGCCAGTCCCGGAGTAAGACCACTTGGTGTTAGTAATTGAGCTATCCGTGCTGCGCTTGATGCACCAACGGATGAACCGTCCGGAGTGACAAGTCCAGCTACAACCACATTTCCAGGAGACTGTGTAGAACCGGTTTTCAAACTTGTAGAGGATTGTTGTGAATGTGGTTGCTGCGTTTGTGCTGTAGTTGTTCCAGCGTGTGTGGTCTGTGCGACCATTTGTACCGTACCGGCTTCGTGCATAGATGCGATACGTCCGAACGCAGCCGGATTCCCGGTCACTATGATCGGTCGATATTTGGGATTGCCAGATTGTTCGACGGAACGGGGTAGAGTTTGCACCGTGCGCAAACTGGATGTGNGTCCGGGGTGAGGTACTAAAGTTCCATGTTTGTGAGGATAGGCTTCTAACACAGTGGATAAGGCAGGACCATGTACTAGAGCGTGAGTTGGTCTAGTTGCACTTAGGAACACGTGACCCGGTTGAGCGAGATGGGTCAGTTGTATACTGGCATTAGGTGCTTGGGCATTGGTACACTGGGCGCATGGGGCCGGAGTTGGATTTCCAGAGGCCATCGGGGAATTGGTAACTTTTGTCTGGGTATCCATTGTGGTCAAGCTCTGATCTGCATGTTGAGACTCAAGTAACCGATCACTCTGGGATGTTCGGTTGCGAGAAACGGAGCTCATTTTGATCGCCGGGAGTCGTCTGTGTCACTGAAGAACGATAAAAAGAAACTCATTGCAATTCAAGGAGGTCTGGCAATGCTTAAGTCAGTGGATAGGTTGGCATTCACCAGCTATCTTTTAATTATATAATTATATATTATATTATATATATAATTATAAACAGCTTGCAGTATATTGTATGAAAAAGCAAGAACAATAACCAACGGTTCCCGGCGACGTTGTTTTGCAGACCAGTGTCAAATGGATTTGTGGGAAGTACAGCCCAGAAACAAACTATGCGCGTAATCAAAACAAGAAGTGGTATGTGATTAGGATACACTGATTGCGTTCTCATGACCAGGGAAGAAGATTTATGAGGGAACCTTGTACAACATTTGCTCTTTCGAGAGTAGACATATTGCACTGTAGTGTACTCTCATCACGAATGAAACATACCTAGAATATACTGAAGGATTCGAATGAAATTTGAAAATGTTCACCCAATAGACTGAACAAAATAAAATATACTCCACAGAATCGGTGCAGTTGCTTGCATCCCCGGGTGGAGAGTATCTATAGAATTCGTGTAGTAAGTTGGAAGAAAACGGAACTGGAGGTGCAGCATGCAAGTTATCATCCTCCCCATTTTTAGCATTCAATTGATGAATCACTCAAGCCGAGTGAGGCTGTGATGAAGAATTAGATTGGCAGATGCATAACTTGAGAACAACAGTGTGACGAACAAGCTCGTTTTCAATTATTCATAATCATGCCATTACATAACATTAAATATGACTAACAATAAGAACAAACAGGGACTGAGAGATTCGGGTCCTAATGGTTCAGCCTTGGCTCCAATCATGCGTTCATGTGTGTCTGTGTGAAGTTACTCACAGTGTAAAAAGTTCAGGCGATTGCACACGTGCTGGAGTGGATGAAGTGGGTCAGAAGAGGTTGTGCTTGCACAAATTTCTTCTGGGCGCATAAGTGGGCTTGTGAATCCGAATACTTACGGTTTCGGCGGTGGCTAAGATACGATGCTTCACTGCTCTTGACTGCCTGCATCGAACCTTGTTAATCGGTCAAAACGAGCTTGTCACATCTACCGAGTGATTTGGCTCAACGAGATGCGAACACACCGCACTCGTAATTGCCTTAATTGTTCCAGTCTTCGGTCAAGCCGGGTGGTGTTCGCGAATGCAATCAGAGAAGTGCCTGGTCGTGCGGCCAATTTACCCAGTTCCACGGGAACAGGTGAATGAATAAACACAGAATGAAGCTTCAGAATCTGGCACTCTATCCTTCAGTTGGAAACTTTATTGGTTTAAATATGAACATAGCTTTGAATTGTGAAGCGTAAAATGTTCTACTTACTGCACTTCTTAGCTTTCTTTGAAAGCCTTCTGCAGGTGCACATACACAGACTTCTTCGCTGCTCCTATTTCCTTTGGCCGTTCCTCATGTTCTAGCATTGCCCTACCGATAAATCGTTCGGGGTAGTCATTATGAGCAAAAACAGTACGTAGGAACTGAAGTTCATTATCGATGGTGTCCGTCGTGCATATTTTCTTCGCTCTTTGAACCAAAGAGCGTATTAGGTTTCTCTTCTTCTGAAACGTGATAAAACTATAGGAATGGATATATTGTCCATTGCACGTTGCTTTTCTATGCACCGATAACTGGACGGAGCTATCGCTGCGGCGTCTTACGAGTATGTGTAGAAACGCTAGACTATTATCCTCTTCTTTTTCCAGAGTAAACTTTATGTTCCGATGGACGTTATTGAACTCCTCAAGCAATTGATTAGTGTCCACGTCTAATATACACAACAAATCATCAACATATCGTCTATATAAGGTGCACTGTCTGATATAGGGCTCCAGTTTGGCCTTAAAGGTGTCAGCAAATAATGATCCTAAAGGTGAACCCATTGCAACCCAATCCTTCTGGCGATATAGTTCACCACTGAATTGAAACTGGACATTGTGTGTAAGTCCATGTGTTTCAGTCCATGCATAACTGTTGATCAGTTGATCATTCTCACTATGTGTCGAAGTCCAAGCACTAAACCAATTCCATGTACCTGTCATCATTCTAATCCGGAAAAGAATGATAAAATACTGTTTGGAAGTCAATTGTACTGTTATATCCCTATGGAGTAGCTGAATAACCAGGCAGTATGGAGAATAAATCGTGATATTAGTCATCCCAGTTTGTAGGATTGTTTCTAAAGATGGATTCGGTCGGAAGCATTGAATACCACATCAATAACGTGCGTACTAATCGGGAACATTTACATGCGAGCAAAGGGACCATGGATCCAAGAGACCTGCAATTCGCAGTGCGCCTTGTAACAAAGATGGTTACGAGGAGGTATAGCACTGTCAAACTGTATACTCTGAAAGGTTTGCGTGATGCGATTTACCCGACAATCAACTAAGATGCAATTGCAACAAGTTGTCATTTCCGCATTTCTGTCAAAGTCATTAGTGTAGCTAGGTGAACACAAAGACAGTTTTGGGAAAGCGCAGAAGTTGTGAGAAGACGACGAACGCACTAAGATACAGTGGGGAGTCATAAAAATCTATTCTGTGGGTCCTGATATCCTGATCGGTAGACAGTGCTCGAATAAATGATGTATGCGTTGTATATAGACGTATTAGGACTAACGTTGTTACGTATACTGCCAAAGCGCTATTGTTTTTCAACCATAAACAATAGAAATTCGTTTCAAATGTTGATTTTAAACTTACTGAATATAAATACATCACAATTAATGTGATACTTTTTGTTAAACATCGTTTATTGAACCGCTTACTGGAGATAGTTGATGACTTGCAAAATTTGACTAGTGCAAACCCATTTGATCAATAGATAAGCAGTTTGAATCCTTTGTTCACTCAGATTTCTTTGGTTAAAACAAGCATAAAAGAGTTGCCAATATAAACAGAAATAGGTAATGTAAGAGATGCGCATTAACTGTTGTTTCTCATGCGATTACACTGTTGCCTGATCAAATTTCGGTGGGGAGAGGCTCTAAACGCACGATATTTTCCTAAGTGATTTACTATCTGTTCAGATATTTATAAATTGCATAGTTTATCAATTTTTCATCTGAAGAAAATCATTTTTTTCATCGGAAGTTGACTATTTTCTTACCGAAACAACATACCTGAAAAATAGTTACCGTTTATTTAGTACTAAAATGAAGAAGAAGTGGAAAATTGTAAAGCTAAATACGAAACAATCAATAATGATGTCACAACATATTCCCCGCACGGTACTGGGCATCCTTCGGTACTTACATTCTCTAATTTGATGCTGCCACGACTTACTGAGTAGCTTTCCACCCAGGGGCAGTTAAAGTCCTACGTGTAAAACTATTAACGTATACGGTATACTTCATTCTGATTCTCACCTCGAGTTGGTGAACCGGCTGCATTGCGAATTAATCGGTTTTGGGCAGTTCAATCGACTTCGCGATATTGAGAATTTATTCTGCTTGTTCGCTGTTTAGGCAAATGATGCGAAAATCACAAAAAGCATCTGCCACTTCAGTCACAGTGCCCACAGTCAATAAAATAGGGAGAGGACCGATGTTTAAAACACCAGGTGGTGCATGCACGGGCACCTAGAGCATGCAGCAATGAAGGTACCAGCACAAGCATCTTGAATTGAGTCCAGTTCGTTTTCATGTCATACTGACTCCTCGGGTTCATGGTTGCATGTGTTTTTCTGATTTTTCAAGTTTCAAGGAAGCCCCGTCACGAAGAAACGACCACTGGAAATGTGGTCTGCCTGCACGTTGAAGGCGCCAGTTAGTGACCAGCGACTGTGTGCGGCCTTTTGGGATGACAGTGATTGTACAAGAACCCGAACTGCAGTACCTGGAATCAACTTCTAGTTATTTTGTTTCTATTAGAGTCAGAGGTGCATTCGGTCCTGTAGTTTGCGTTAATGCTTTTATCACATAGGACCATCCCAAATAACCTTCAGGTGGGTCAATAATAACCCCGTGCACCATTGACCTTTCCCAGATTTAGTGGGAGTGAACGGTTGACAATTTTTTGATAGCATTGTGTCTATTCGGATATAAGTGACCAATTGCATTCAACTAAAGAGATCAGAAGAGCTTGAAAGCTTAATTTTAATGGTCCTATTAGTGTTTGTAATTGGCGACCAACGACTCCATGTCGTCGCATATGTCAAATAGAATGTAAGTATTCAAATTACTTCGTTCACTTATCTAAATTTCATTAACAGTTGTATTACTAGCCGTTTCTGTCAGTCCAAACAAATTGTACACCTCTGGTGAGATAACCGGGCCAGCAATGCCAAGGTGACACGGAGAACGATAGGTAATCCCTCTCTTTCTAAAGCAAATGGCTCGACCTCAATAGGTTACGGTGAATGGGACATTTGTCACACATGTCACCGGATATGCATCCCTCAGTCGTGATGTGTGCCAAAGCAGGTAGTGTTCGGAAGTAGATCAAGGGTGGCCAGATCGTGAATTGACACCAAAGTTGAATGGTTGGCTGGATGAAGTCTTCAAAATGGTGGATTAAAGGTCCTCAGTTAGAATCCCGCCACCGTCACCCATCTGTACTACTTCTGCATTTACCCAGGAATCCTTTGATTAGTCACAGTCTTTTTCCCGAGCGTTCACTAAACATTTATTTGCTCACTAAAAGAGGTAAAAAGCACAAAACCAAAGAAAATATTTTATTCTTGTCCGAAGGGCAATTCTGTGGATATTTTTTATCTTTTCACATTATCAAACTAATAGAAGCTTAGCGACACTGAATCATGAAGGCTTGTGTCATAGACAGTGGGGCTTATCCATCTAATTACTTTCAGAATGAATATCTAATTCATTGGCATTCTACCTCAAATTGTGGGGACTGTTCCACAATGTTTCACTCTTTTCTTCATCGATCGATACTACTAAACGGATAAACGAGAGCGAGAAAACATCGGTCAATGAGATAGCTAAACTATGATCTGAACAAACCAGAAAA